GAGTGTAAGAAGCCTCCACGGGGTGCCTTTTTATGTAGTTGTGATATCGCGGGATGAGCTCTTAAGGCACAATATGGTATACGTCAGAGAAGTACGTAGAGAATTTATCTCAATTACAGGTTTAATAACATATTTCGACAGTGAGCATGCATAAGGGCGTATACGCGATGATCGATTCTCTTCATCGTTTTTCTCTTTGCTCCAGCTAAGCGAAACAATTTTTTAGAATTTGTTCAATGCAGAGTTGTAAGAGGTTGTACTGGCTATCAAAAGCAACAACAAACGTACCGATAAACGTTAAATCTAGCGAGTTAATAACAAAAGAGAAAATCGATGAAGAGAATCGATCATCGCTTGTACGCCCTTATGAATGCTCACTGTCGATTTGTTTACCTGTTTATGTTTTGAGCCTCTGTTATGACATACACAATTCTATCCAGGTATACAACTAATAGAGGACAGAAAAAAGTCACATGAGTTTGTTTGTTGATTATTTGGGTATATTTGAGAGTATTAGTAGTTGAGTAGTACTTATAAACTTGTTTCTTTTCCGCTGCGTCTAAATAGAAACGGGTAAGTCTGACAGCTACCATACTTGAGAATGAATTGTCTGTTTTTTAATATATATTCATGGAAAAACATCTCGTTGCTGGACATCACGACTAACATTTGAAAATGGCCCAAAATGTAGAAAATTATTATAATTATTTTTTTTAAATTGCATTAACTTGAGAACGGCTGGACTTAGGAAAAAAGTTTTTATATAAAATGTTTTTGAAAATTATGCGTAGAATCCAAATAAATTACTATTTTACTAAAAAATATGCAATTTCACCAACTTGTAAAAACCAACAAAAATTTCAAAAATTATAATTTTTTTTTTAAGAAAGTTACCAGTATACACTCTTCACCAAATATTAGGACATTTTTTCAGTTTTCTTGAAAAAAAAAATTATAAAGATCGAAGGGGGGGTGTTTTGAGATAATCATCGTTTTACGTTTTTTAAATACTAATTTACTAAGTTTTTCTTTCAGTGTATTTTTTTCCGCAAAGATAATTTAACTACCTAAAACTTCTTCTCATATGCCATTTTGATCAGATCAATAGTTTTCATGTTATGATTTTTTGAAAAAAAAAATAATCCATTTTTTATACGCCCTTTTCAAAAGTTACTCTGGAGGAAAAAATCATATTTAAATGAAAAATGCAACCATTAGTAGCAGCGAACACGTGAGAAATGTTTCATTCAAATCGGAAACACTCATGACCAACCGGTTTGCGTTTTGGGCTGGAAATGCTCTAACCCGAATGATTTCTGGGATTGATAATACCGTGCCTTTACTGACTAGGCCATCTGAGGCTCCCAAAGTGAAAGTGAAAACCTTGATTAATCCACCTACCGGTTACAAGTGCTTTCTCGTATAATATTAAATAGCATCAGTACATATTCATATTCCACAGTTGGCCTGCTTATTATGTTGCTGCGCATTCTACCTGCCACATTGGACATCCCACTCCTCATACGTCAATGGGTCTTAGACCACAGGATTCTCTTTAGTCCTGGGACGCATTGTTGAAAACACTTTGGAAGCCCTTGATCTCTCTAACACGGGCCTGCCTATCGCTGCTTGTGCTCTTCACAGATGTTCCGGACCCGTTGTTGGATGTCGAGAGAAGGTCTTCCAACCTGTCTGTTTCAGTCTGTCAGTGCAGTATTGTATGCAGCTCTCTCCCTTCCACCACGACTCCATCGTCCAGTGATGCATTTGAACGGGCTCAATTTGAGATCCGAACTTACGGTCAAGTAGAATGAACGCCCGTGCAATTCATAAGAAAGAACTCGAGGTGGGTTTGCCTGAACGGAAAATGAACGCTGGGTACCTTTGTGTTGCTATGGTTCGTTTCACTGTTATTTGGTGTCTTCCGATATCCACTTATGGATAGACCTGGTTTGGTCATTTTTGGAAACTATGTAATGCTTCTCGGCAACCACAGAATCTATTTGGACGCAACAGTCGCCAAATAAACCGCCACGGCTTTATTGACCATTGAACCGAATAGGATACCACCAAATGGATACTAAGATCATATAAAATACTTTTTAAAAATTTTCGAACAGGTCAACTAGTTCGGGAAATATGACCAAGACACGATCCGGTTTGTATGGGCCATGAGACTAAATCTGTCCTAAAACGAATAAATCCCATCATGTAACACCTCAAATGAAATGAGAATTCAAAATCTAGTTCAAAAGTAGCCATTTAAAGTGGCCACATCTGGTAATGTTTTAAGAACCCCGGAAAGTGGCCAGTTTCTGACTTGGTCAAAATCCATAATGCAATACAGGGGTTGTGCGAATTATAGGGTACTAGCAAAATTTTGTGCAACTTTGGACTGTTGTAGCTTCGTTGAATGTTGTTAGATTTTTAATCTTCAAGAAGCATTCGACTGAAAACCTAATCAAATTTCATGGTGTGGCAATGGAAGTGACCATGGTTACCGGATATCGGAGATATTCCGGGTTTTCGGAAAGCATGTCTAAATTGCTAAATTTGTGATAAGTTTTCTCAGGGTGTCCGTAACAAATTTGTGTTTTTTGTTCATACGCCGAAAAAAGAACCATTTTTAAAGCGAATGACGCACCAAAAGCTAAAATTGGCTCAGAATCAACCAAGATATGGCCATTTCCCTGGAATCGATCCTGAGGGAGTGTTCTTAGTTCGGTCTCTTGCCCCATTACAGTTTCAAAAAAGATTTGAGATGACTTTTTGAAAAAATCGTAAACATCTTTTGACGAGTTATAATTTGCATTACATTTCTGCTGTATGAAGGCAATAATATGAAGTTGCAATACGGTGTAGAAACTCCTATAAATATCCACTATTTGGCATATATAGAACGTAAAATTGTTAAGGTGGCACTTTTGCCCCACCCGACCCTAAGTGAGAGTTGACTACTCAAGCCACACACTAGAGTCGGTATATATAATGAGTCACGCCAAGAGTCACGCCAAGAGAAAAACAGTTGAACTCGCATCACGGTTTTCGAAAGATTCCATTTCTTTTCACTTGGCAACAGAGGACTGCTACATCAACTTCAAATGACTTCTAGCGAGCAAAAAAATAGCGGCTGTTGTAAATCATTATATCAGTGATTTTGTCCAATCATCTCAACAAAAAATAGTAGAAATTCTCATTACTGATCGTTACCAAACGTATCCCATGACAATTGAATGCTCACTGCGTGTTTATGATCATTTCTTCGATTATATTTTATATTTTATTGCAATACCTTTCGTGGACCTTTCATAGCATCGTAATGTTTGTTTACTTTGCACGATAGGTAGCCGGTTTGACAGTTCAATAGGTAGACTTGGCTTCACTCTTGGCGTGACTCATTATACGCTGACTCTACCACACACATGTTCTATGACAGTTTATATAACCTTTAAATGACTGGTTTTGGTTGTAAAGCTGATTACTCAACATAATTCTATGAATTTGTGTTACATGAGACTAAACCTTGAATGAAGTCACTGGTGCTAGATTCCCACCCGTTTTTGCATGCAAGTTGATGAAGATGATTTCGGTGGAGGAATCCGAAACGACGATATAATGGAACAAAGTACCGACACGGTCACTTACCCGCAACCACTTATCAACGCATTTCGCGTGGAATTCATGCGAACACGGTAGCACTCGCAACATTTGACGAGATTCGAAGTCACACATGCACACCACGCAGGATGTTTGATCCCCTAAAACGATAAAACAAATTTCGGTATAATTAAATCCATCGCAAAGCTCCAAACAGTTCAAATTTTGAGACCAAACCTGTATGTGTTTCCGCATTGAATTTGTAACTAGGCAGCTGATCGATTTCCGGCCGTGCGAGACCACGTGGTTTCGCCTCACCCAGGCGTTCTGCTAAGCTAAGTAACGCTTCGTAGTTCTCCGTTTCGTTAGAGTCGGGTGAGTTGAGGTCCGGCTGTTCATACATCGACAGCGGGAACATGGCTCTGTGAGATAAGAATTGCAATTTGATTTTTATGCTAATGAATACGGTATAGAAGCAGATTGACTTACAAGAAATTCAGCAGAATGCCGGAGTATGCGGACGGTGTAGCCGACAGGGATACCTGCGTTGGCTGTGGAGCTAGCGTTTGATGCTGTAGACTTGGATGGCGATGAGCCGGATGGGCATGTGGATGGGACGGTGGCGGTGGAGCTGGCCAATGGAAGCGGGTAAAGTTCCGGCGTGGAGCGGTGATAGCGCGGCGAGCCGTTCTATGCAGCAGCTCGAATTGGCCCGTGCGTCCCTGGAGAATATTCAACACGGTCGATATTTGGAAAATAATATGAAACATCTGAAACGCCCAATTCCTTTGCTATCTAGTATACTTACTTCCGTTGAAATATAGATTGGAGTTGGTGGCGATATCTGAGTCATTTGTGGCGAGGAATGGATATGTGCTGCGGCAAGTGGAGACACATGCAACGGAGAAGCACCAGTATGATCCAGCCCGTCAAGGGATAGCCCATCGGGTCGCTGTCATGGTAAAGGGAGACAATAAGATATCATTCATGTAAGTTAAATATAAGCCCGTTTTTCAAAACTCACCTGTTGAGCTAAGTGAGGATGCTGGTAATGAGGCTGATGTGGCTGTGGATGCGGATGGGGATGCGGATGAGGATGTGGATGTGGATGTGTATGTGGATGTGGATGTGGATGTGCATGTGGATGTGGATGTGGATGCGGATGCGGTACTGCAAGAGCAGCAGGTGTAGATGCGAAGGCTCCGAAGTGTCCTCCAATGTTACAGGTTTGAGCAAACGGTTGTGAATAGACTCCATGAACCTTTGGAGAAAACAATTATTTAGTAACGCACAAGATAACGTTGTTTGAAAAAATTACTTGGCAAGGTGGTATGTGCGGTGCGGCTGGGTGACCTGAGCAAATCGAGATGTGTGGTCCAGCTGAGTACGTCCACAGTTGCTCATGGTGACCCAATGGAAGGCTAACAGGAACTTGATTGATGTCAACCATCAGTGAGGGATGCTGATGCTGTGGCTGAGGTGGTGACGGTTGTTGGAAAACCTGTGGCATTGCCTCCCAAGGACGTGGCTGTTCACGGAATCTTGGTCTACGGATCGGTGGACTTCCCTGTTGCAATGGCACCAGACCGGGCTGATTCTGAGGCAAGTGCAAATGGTTGTGTTGGTTTTGATGGTGTTGACTCAGATGGGGTGGTTGCTGTAGCTGCAGCTGCTGCTGTGGAGGATGACTGTGATGGTTGCTGTGGTGGTTGTTATTGTTCCGAGGTGATCTTCGATGATCCCAAATGGCCGGTGGAGATTGACTAGGCATTCTTGAAACACGACGTCTTTTGCGTGATGGACTATCCGATTTGATTCCGTTGCTTCCGTCGGAGTTGTACGACGGACTTGGTGTTTGGTGGTTGTTCGTATGCGAACTGTTACCCTGATGATATGGCGGACTGATGCGTTCCCTGTTATTCTCACGACTATTTCGCATCGAATCCAACGACAGGACAGACCTTGCATCCAGATGTAGGTCTGACCCTCTGGATGAATTCGAAGGTCCTTCGAAATGATTCTGCAAGGGATTGGGAAGCATAGTTGAAAAAAAAAAATCTGTATTTATGTGAATATACATACCGAATGACGATCCAAAGTAGATGCACTATTGGTATGCCGGTTTCTATCCTGCATACTCATGTTATTTCGCCGGTCATTATGGCTTGGTCCAGCTCTAAGAATTTGTTGAGATCTATTATTAACACTACCATCTTCAGTAGCACCGTAAGGCATTAAGATTGGACGATTGGTGATTGGAGGGGAATGTAATTGCATTGGTGGGGATTTTGGTGAGTATGTGAAGGATTCTTTAGGACTACTCCCGTTATTATCACTGCATAGTGGTAGTAGTAGTGGTAGTGGTAGTGGTAGTAGCAGTAGAAGAAAAAGTAGTAGTACGTGTGTATTTTGAACATTTTTTTTTGCAATTTATTTACCACAACGGACAAAAAGCATGCGGAAGAAAAATCAAAAAACAATCATATATTAATTAGAAAATAAATTACAGTTACAATAAGCTTATGTATAATATTCGTTGCCTACAAAACTGTTATATGAAGAGATTGGAAACGTTCGATCGAATCGGAAAGCTATTTGTGATATAAAACATGAATGAATGACTAGAGCGAAACGGCAAGATAATATCAATCGACTCGCGACTACGCAACCGTACACCTTAAATGCGGGGTGGTTCGAAGGAAAGCATGAATGTTAGTTGAAGATGTGCAAACATTCTGAACCCATTCAAACGATTACTGTCTACCTTGCGTGGAGCATTATTTATATCACAAATGGCTATCAACCACATAACTATAGAAAAAATTACACCAGATTTATTGATATATGTATGCGAAAGGACAACATTTGAAGCCAAGTAACAAAAGGAATGGTTTTCCAATTATACCTACACTGGAACATTGGTTTCAAATGTTGTTCACAGAATTCTATTGCTATCGGTTGGGGATAATGTTTTCAGAGATGGACACACAGCATGTGGAAATACGGAGCTAGTTTTGATTTTATTTTAAAACCTCTTATTTCAAACCTTAAACCTGAACATTCATAACGTGGTATTTTGCATATTGTCTTTCTATGTTGATCACAATATGGCAGTTTATGAGCCTTTCAAATAAACGAACTAGGGTAGATGTACCAATTATGGCTATACGTGGAATACCATAGGCCATAATCGGTACACAGCATAATAGGAACGTATAGCCATAACTGGTACACCTACCCTAGATAAAAATAAACAATATGGCAGTTTGTGGATTTTCAAATGCACAGTGGTGCAGAATGGGATTTAAGTAAGACAAAAGTCCCAGTGGTTTTGTCTTAAGTTTTAAACATTTAGTGACTATTTATGGCTCAAAAAGCTCCTGCTTATGGTTATTCTAAAACATAGGATGGTTCTCAAATAAATTATTAATCAAAAACTAATTTTCTTATTTTTGAAAATATTCGGCAAAGTTTTAATGAGGTGCATCTCAAGACAGAAACATATTTTTTTCTATCTCTAAATGTTTATATTTTTAAGCCTTATTTCTTAATTGACTGTTCGAGACATCGAATGGGTTATTAGGCCAAAATATTAAATGTTGCTCGCTTTTCAACGTAAGGTCGTAATTTTAATCGCAAAATTATGAGAATTTTTTCAAGTACTGCAGATTTCATCTGTTTTTGCCGAATGTTTTATTTTAAACTATTTTTAAAGATCTTCAATCCAGGCCATTGTTTTAGATAAATATATAATAATGTTTCCAATATATCAGCAGAGAGATAGCTATCTTGAAAATTTTGCAAAGTCCGAGGGTAATGAAAATTGTTCTCATGAAGTCTTTAAGTTCAATAGTTTACTATTCAAATTCAGTATAATGACCCATTCGGTATAACGACCCATTCGGCCTAGTTACCCATTTGGCCTAATGTCATTCGGCCTAAAGGCCCTACACTCTCCACGTTCATGCTGCTATGATCACTTGGATGAAAGGAGAAATGTTACAAACTGCACTCTAGAGTCTTTTGCCGTTTAATCGACTTTCTTTATCTAGCACATGGAAATGAATTTTCCCCATAGTTTGTATCCATACAAACATCTACATTTTTGAAGCTCTAAAATAAACTCGAGTTTTGTTTATTTCATCTAATGTGTTTAACGCATTATTTCTATAATGCCTAGTTAGACTATCAGAACGAAACGAAAATGAAAAAGAAACACGCTTGCTCATCCCTTTCAGTGAAAGTAACGTCGATTTTCGAGTTGAAACGAAATATCACCGTTTTTTTAATTTATTTCATATGCGCTATGTCCTGTTTCGTAACTTTTTTTTTAGATAATAATGTTGTTGGGAAATAAATCGAACATCTTACATGTAATCTTCAAGTGTTTTCACATGAACGTCATGAAACCTCGGTTGATGTGTTTCATGAAAAACGAAACTATCAAAGTCGAGCGCTCTTTCAATCGTCCGCTTCACCGAAGCTTGAAATTTGTTTGTAGACGCCGACGGAGGAATGCTGCGAAGATGCTTGACTTCAACAGAAAAAGAAAGCTAGCAGTCTCTTTGTCACATCGATTTTGTCGATAAAAGCTGATATTGTAACGCCCTGATGCAGACCGCTCGCAATTGTTCAATTTAGAGGCCTGTCCAACGTTTTTAAGTCAAGGGCCAAGTGCATATGTCAATGCATATCACCTGGCTGGCCATAAGTTTCAATTTTAAACTGGAGCCGGTTTTTTTTACACAGTACACTGTACACGAATCTTACTCACAGAGTGAGTCACTTTTACTCATTCGTATGGAAAAAATCTTGAAGCGTATGTTACTCATGCGCTGAGTGACCCACGTTACAATAAGTTTCCCATACGGATGAGTAAAAGTGACTCACCCGTTGAGTTTGTTTAGTTTTTAATGTACGTTTTTAACGTTTTTACAATAACATTATCTGTATTCAGTTGTATCCATGCTTGGCATACACAGTTGTACACACCAACTGCTCATTTGCTAATAACTTCGCACACAGTTGACGTAACATAGTAAAAAATCATTGGCGTTGATTCAAATGTTAAGATTTACCTACTATTTGCATATTTATATTAAACTATGATCCTAAACTATCAATTACTTTAAATAAAAACAAATTTCAACAACTGAGTGAAAAGTTATTAACAAATGAGCAGTTGGTGTATACAACTGTGTGTGCCAAGCATGGTTGTATCAATTATTGGTGTAAATCCAGAAAATTAATAAAAATGTGTAAATTTATCGAAGCAGGCTAAAATTATAGATCTCAGACATTTTAAAATGTTTAAGCATGTGAATTTATCACTGACCGATCAATCAAGGTTTTTACGCGGTTTCCACATTTTTATAAAATCAGAAATATTTAACTCATTTAACAAGCATTAAAAATAGCTAATTATATACAACAACAAAGAAACGATATTTAGCAATGTTTTAAAATAAGTCTTTTTATTTATTCTTATTATTGTTTTAAGATAAGCATGAGTGATTTAATGAGAAACTTGAAATTGTTGGCTGTTCTCCAACACTCGCTGTATATTGATCTCAGAAAATGTTACCGAAATCCGCAAACATGATTCCAAGTGTTTGTTTGATAGAGATGAGCGAGAATAGAACAACACGCGGACCGAATGTGAAGATTTTGTCAAAGCTATTCTGATTTATATCTTCTTCTTCTTTGCATTTCAAGCTTATTGCTTATGGCCTATTAGCTTATTTGAGAGCACGCAACTTACTGTTCAAGATGCATTTCTACAGTTATTAATGGAGAGCTTTCGATGAGAGCTTTCTAACCCGAAAAATTCCTAGACTGGACAGGGAATCAAACCCTGCCGCCTCCAGCATGGTCTTGCTTTGTAGCTGCGCCTTTGACGACTGCGCGGCCTGATTTAGATCGCTTTCTCTCTCTGATTGAACGCTCACTATCATAAAACCACTGATTGTGACTCTCTGAAAGTGATATTGACATGTTTGACACATAACGGCATGAGATTAAATCCATGATAATCTACTCAGTAAGCAAAAACAGTTGCTTTTAGGCCACCGAGCCATATCACATAACACCAATTATGATCGAGTTGCTGCTGTAACGGCCTCCCTTAGCTCAGTCAGTTAAGGCGCAGCTATAAAGCAAGACCATGCTTGAGGTGGTTGGGTTCGATTCCCAGCCCGGTCTAGGAATTTTTCGGGTAGTAAATTTCTCGTCTTCCCTGGGCTGACAAACGATGACGACGAGTGTTATCAATCACACTACTGTATGAGTGCACGCACAAAAAACCGTTCCAATATTCGTGAACAAAATATCATGAGAACCTGAACTGCTTGTTCATATGAATGCAGACTCAGTTCCCGTAAACGTGATCAAGTAGATCGTATTTTCAACAACTTAATCCCAAATCTGTGAACTTAGTTCACGCCTGTTTGGCACTGGTCAAATTCGTAACGCTGCATAAAATACGATGCCATGAACCCATAAATGTGATTTTCGTTCCTGCAATCGTGAATTTGAATCATCAGCTGTCATTTTCAGTGGTTGTTTACTGTTTAATGCCAGCAATACATGCATTTTTGAATTATTGTAAGGTAAGCAATGTGCGAGTAATTAGTTTATCATACCAACAAGACAAAATTTTCCGGCAGTTGCAGCAGGGTGACAGTGTAAACCAAAGGTGCTTCTTTCTATTACGGACGACAAGCTGTGGGCGGCAGTATTTTCAGCGGTCGTGACGATAGCAGCGCCTAGTCAACGCAGCCGGTGAAGTAGAGTACTGGGATCCAGCATGACTACGACGCCCACCTCGTCTAGCTCAAGAGTTAATAGTGGAGCTTCCTGTGCAGCCAATTCCGTCACCGTACTTCAGCAGCAGCCCTTATGGTGTTGCTAGAAGTTGATCCAGGAAAACTAGCGGCAGTAGTCCACTGATTTATTCATTTATCGCAGTTTAAGGATCTGCGAACGGAATGTGGAACCCGTATGCTACGGGGTGGTCTTTAAAAAGATTCGGGTTTAGATTAAAAAAAAAAAAAAAAAAAAAAAAAAAAAAAAAAAAAAAAAAAAAAAAAAAAAAAAAAAAAATAGAACTTATTAGCCAACGGCTGAAAGTCTCCTTAATAAAGATATAAAAAAAATGTTTCTTCTACATTTCAGGCTTGGATTTGATATCAAATTTCGTTCTGCGCTATCATTTGAAAATTAAAGTCCCAGACAAGTGATACATTCCATTCAAAGTCTATACCAAACACGCCATAAAAAAAAAATCATTTGAAGATCTCAAAAGCTACTAATATAGATTGTCGGTAATTATTTTTT